TTAACCTGAAACGAAATATCTGGTCTCGTGTGCGTAGCTGCATATAGTAGACATCCAATAGCCGTGCGATAAGGGAATGGAGTTTCCGATGTCTCATTGACAATTAGTTGGAGTTCCTTAATTTGAATTTCTCCCGGAGTAAGAGCTTTGTTACAATTTTCCATGCCAAAACGAGCAAGCATATTGCGAATATATCCTTGTTGATTTACGCGAACACGTCCTGATTTCCGGTCAACATTTAGTTCCAAACCTAAGAAACAGGTTGGCTCTTCGATCTTGATCTCGAATGCAGCCTTCATAAAGTCTAGCAGCTCAGTCACAACGTTTTCTTATCGTCCAGCAACGAGGATGTCGTCTACATATACTGCCAACAGTAAACGCCCCCTCTGTCCATTTCCATAGTATATGCAAGGATCAGCAATAGAACGAATCAAACCGAAGGTTGTGACAAGTTCGTTGAATTTCTTGTTTCAATTTCGAGGCGACTGCTTCAGACCATAAAGTGATTTTTTCAATTTCCAAACCTTACCGTCATCGATGTCTACTACATCCGAAGGTCGCACATAAATTTCTTCCTCGATATCTCCGTAGCGAAATGCCGACTTGACGTCGCATTGCTTGATCACCAACTTCTCATGAGCTGCAATAGCTAACATATGTAATTCTAATTGAATCCATACAAACTACGGGTGCGAATGTCTCAGTAAAATCAATTCCACGTTTTTGACTATATCCACGGCAAACAATTCTAGCCTTTAGCTTGTCGATTTCTCCATTTGAATGTCGTTTGATCTTCAATACCCAGTCTGAGTCAATAGCGTTCTTTCCTGGTGGTAAGACACATGTCTCGACCACATCATTCTTCACGAAGGAGTTGAGTTCATCTTGCATAGCCAGTTGCCATCTGAGGCAACTGTCCTTACCCTCAAGAGCCTCCTTTGCTGTCTTGGGTTCTTCTGTGATTAATGTCATCAAAGCTTCATGTCCTCCTTGCAGCTTCTCGTCAGGAGCATCCTCAATGATGGTGCTACGACTTCGGAGCTTCATAGTTAAAGGCCCACTGGGCTTGCGGACATTTGTTGACTTCGGATGAGTAGATACTTTAGCGATTTCATTTATGATTTCAGTAAAATCATTTTCTTTGATTTCATAAGTTCCGTCACTGATGGATAATGATTTCATCTCGTCCTCTACATAGAAAGAATTTTGCTTTTCTTCATTGAATTTTACATCACGTACGATGCGAACATCTTGAAGATCCTGAAAGTAAATTCGATACAGCTTTGTACTCGGTCCGTAGCCTATCAGCTGTCCTTTTCGAACTTTCTTGTCGAACTTATTTCGCTTCTGTTTTGGGATGTGCACAAAGGCGTCACAACCGAAGGCACGCAGATGCTCAATGGACGGCTCCTTTCCATACCAGAGTTCGTATGATGTCTTCTTTAGATCACGAGTGGTGACGAGGTTTGACAGATAACAAGTAGTCGAGACACACTCGGCCCACATAAACTTTGGTAGGTTTGCATCTGCAGAGATTGAGCCTTTTCAGTAAGAGATCGAATGGCACGTTCGGCCATACCATTCGACTGTGGTGTATATTCAACACTCATCTCATGCTTGATTTGATGTTCTTTCAGAAGATCTTGGAATGATGTACCAGTGAATTCAGTGCCTTGATCAGTCCGCAAAATCTCAATCGGATGACCCGTCTCTTTCTTGACTTCCTGGATCACTTTCTTGAACTCTTCGACAAGTTCCTTCTTCTTCTTCAGCATAGCAACTTTCTTGTAGCCTGAGTTCTCATCAACAAAGACAGCAAAATATTTGCAACCACCTGTCGATTCAATTGAAACCTTTCCACTAAGGTCGCAGTGAATTTTTGCACTTGTCTTGAAATCCTTATTAACGATTTCCTTGTATGGTCCTTTGGTCATCTTTCCAAAGACACAGGCTTCGCAGAAGAAATCTTCTCTTCCAGTTGCGCAATATCCCTTAGACTTTAATAGAGCTTTAATCTTGTCTTTTCCTGCATGTCCAAATTGATGATGCCAAGTTTCCCATGATGCAGAGTATCATTTCACCTCCTTCTGAGCCGTGAAAACCTCAGCTGGTTTCTCGACCTTGATCAGCATCCGATATGTCGAGTGTCCTTTCTTGACGCCACGGACAATTACATCGCTTTCTGAGTTCTTTACCTCTGACTTGCTAAAAAGTGCTTCATAACCAAGGTCAGTTGTGGCTACAATAGAGAAGAGATTGAACGGTCCAAAATCGGGAACCAACCTTACATTCTTGAGACATCTCGGTACCCACTCTTTTCCATCATGGACGGTTACATTTATCTTGCCGATAGCTGTCGCCATTAGAATCCTGCCATCGCCTACCTTCACTTCTTCCGGAGGATCCAATGTCTTTGATTCTACAAACCAATTACTATTACGAGTAATATGGCTGTACGCATCTGAATCACCGATCCAATCATCAATGTCTCCCAAATGTTGTTTCGCCGTCATTGCCATACGATTACTAGACGAACGTCCTTCTGAGCTCGTGTCTTTCTTCTCGGATAGGCAATCACGAGCAAAATGCCCAAAACCTTTGCAATTGTGACATTGTAGCTTCTTCCGGTCCTTTTTCAAGCCTGCTTTCTTCTTGCTTTTGAGAATCTCCCGATCTTTCTGACCAGATAACGCTACATGATTGCCGGATGACGTTACGCCAACGTCACGTTCGACATCCAACAATTTCGCTTGCAGTTGTTCTATCGTAACGTCCTTCGTAGGACAAATCCGCCATACTTGCTTGAAGTTATCAAACTTTTGCGGTAGACCACGAATAATTTTCGTAATGATCATCTCCTTCTCGGCTTATTTTCTGCGCCTTGAGCTTATTTTCAATGAGCATAAGCCCAGAAATATATGACGTCACAGTCATATCGTCTTTCCAGTGATAGTCGTTGTATGCTTCCAATGCGGCTAACTTCGTCGTGCTCGAGACTTCATCATAATGTCCCACGAGAGTCTTCCACATATCAGCGGATGACGTACAGGCGACCACTAAATTAAAATGTGCATCGTCGAGAGACTTACTTAACAGAGACCTCGCCAAGGCATCCTTCTTTTTCCAATCAGCCAGTGTGGCATCCGTTGGTTGCTCTCTCAATCCATCGGCCACATCAAACACATCGTTTGCTTCGAGATGAGCCTGAATTTCAAAACGCCAACGAACGTAACTGCTCGAGTTCAGTTGCGTAACAGACTTCAAGTTTATTTCCATCCTTGCAGATTCAAGCGATGTTACTTGGACCTCTGTCTTCCTTGCACTCTATAACTCTCCTTTTGTAGCCATTCACACTTCTGGGCCCATAACCTATTGTGATTTTGTTGTGAATAAATAACAGAGCGCGGTTAAAACGTGTGTGTTGTTCAATGGCGTTTTATTCGTACACATAGAAAAGAAAACTTACTAAAGTATAAGGAAGAGCGCGCACGTCATCTGTCAGGTAAAAGAAACAATACTTAGATATCGAGCGAGGTACATAAGAAGTGTGATATACATAAAGTGAGACTAACGTCATACAATCAACACCTTTGACTATATACCTCTGGACTGCTAACGGCAGCCATTACTGGAAAAAGCTCGTTTGAAGAAAAATCCTACATAGCAACGCATAATCTTAGCTTCGACGGCCCAAGAATCTATGACGCGATTACATCATGCAGCTTATAGAGTGATTTTTCGGAAGTCGTTCATGGTTTCATCGACATATTGTATGTTATTAGAAAACATACTAGTTGAAAAGGCAAGGGTGAATGTACCATTACGAGCTTGGCAGAATGGTTGAATGTTTCGAGTAATACTCATAACGCAATATACGATGTAGAAATCTTACACAAAATTCTCAAGAAATGTAAAATTTCAAAAGAAATGCTTATAAACAGTGCAAAGAGTTATTGTGAACAAACTCAAAAATGGGACGACGA